TGAAAATCAGCAACGTAACAACAGGAAAAGCTAAGCTATTCTACTACACCTCATACCCCCAAATGCCCTGGTATGGCCGAGAGTGGGGAGAGTCCGCTCTCCCTCTCGAAGTGCTCTCACACGGCCACCCGTATATAGCCTCTGCCAGGGAAGTCCTACTCACTGCCTTCTCGCAACACGGGTGTTCTTTACGAAAATGAGAGGACGAAAAGCGAATGTTCGGTGCTTTAACCGGATTCCAAACCAATGGTGAACATGGGCTGGCTCCAGTATCCTGCGGGAACAAATGGCGTATGAACCAATCGTTGGTCACCTGCTACCATGGAACTCCATCTCCTCGCAATGCTCCACTGCCTTGTGGATCAGACCTTAAGGTCAAAGGTTCGAGGTGTGGCCTCCTAAGAAAACCACGTGCTTCGGTTTAAGCACCCGGGCAGTATCACACCCCTCACACATATCTGTGTGGTGCATATGTATTTGGTGCCTCCTTGTACTAATACTTATTTGTTAAAATAATAATAATAAAAATAATAACTACACCTCATCCTTGTTAACTAGAAGGAGAAGATTAGATGTATATTCCACAAGCGGTCAGAAGTTCGAACGAACAAGCATAAAATTTATGCGTGCATAAACAGTATAAAAGTGTCCTTGGTAAACGTCATGAAATAGTGTATTAAAGAAGGGAACAAACCAATGAAATTTAAGGTGTCCTTCCAAGTGGGTAAGGTAAATAAGAGTGCTTTTGACGCGAAAATGAGAAATTCAATTGTTCAAAATAAACTTACATAAATAAGACGTTTACTAAGTGATTTCTGGGGATCTAGCATCCCCAGCTTTCTGTTGTACCAGTGTTATTACATATAGAAGTAAGGTCATGTTATTGTAACTGATAGAAATCTGGGAATATAATATCGATCGAAACACTTGTGAGTTCTAGTGTGTACTCAAAAAAATATATATTCTCTTGTTAAGAACGGGTAAGTCGTAATGTTACCATCCATCATAACGATACCAGCAATAATGTTTCCAAAAATCCACTAAAGAAGTAGCTATAAAATCATGTCTATAATATCATATATACCGACTATGACGTTGTGTATGTTGAAAAGACAGACAGACAACTGAGTGTAAAATTCCAGGATAAATATTTCTAAATCTTCAGAAAATAACACAAAGGTAGAGTGTAGTAAGATGATAAGATTATATTCCATAGAAAATATAGAATTGTTTAAGACAAAACTAAAATTCAACATAACTCCACCCTGGAGCCCATCTGAGCTCTATAACGTTTATTGAAAGCATTTTTATTATTTCAGAACCTGAGTAGACGCTTTACATGATCATTTCAAAATTATAATGTTACTAACGATGTTTCGAATGAAGGAAACACAACTCTTAATCAGTTTGTGAATTGATCAAGTAGTTCATGACTTTTCCTATATATTCAAGTAAACTGTTCAGATCTAAATGATGTAAACATTTAGACAGCTCAAAGGCTAATTATGTCATATGGATACTGATTAATTGTGTGTTGTATATGATAGCTCCAGTTGACTAGTGGTATTTGGTTTTTGAAATGGGTGTTATCAGGTTATTTGCAGATCAATGATTATAAAAAAAGTTAGGAAAGAAACCCCCTCCCCCCCCCGAAAAAGCGAAAATGCCGATGTTAAATGGAGACAAGTAGGAACCTACCACCAATTTATGTATGTATTGATCCTGCATGGTATTTTAGGAATTAAAAGTAGTTTGAAATTAGAAGTAAACAATAGTTTAATTTAAGATTTTCAATTTTCTTGAATGGATAAACTTCACAGGTTACTCACAGTTACATTTAGAAGATTCAGTAGTAATGACGATTATATATTAATTATAGTAATGTTCATTGATTTAATGGTCAATATATTCAGTTTGTATATGTAGTTTTATTGTCCTTATAGATCATTTCCTTTCTCACAGAACTCCTAATATCAATTGAATAAAATAACCCCTATACTGATAATTAACATGTACTTACTGGTGACTAGCTTCGTGAAGGAATTCTCAAAGTCCTAGTGAAAACCCGTGACCAGTGGAGCTAATACGTGTCGGGTAGAGACAGGTATCTAGCTCAGTACAATGGAAGATGGTGGCGCAATTTCATGGATTGGTTGATGTTAGATACTAACACCATTAGATTCTGATTCAGTGGTCCAGTAATTTAAGCGTTCGCGCGCGAGACCGAAGGCCCTGGGTGCGAACCCCGCGAGTGGGATCGTGCATGCGCACTTCTGAGGAGTCCAACAATAGAACGAGTTGACCATCCAGTGCTTCCAGGTTTCCAACGGTGGTCTAACATCAATCAGTTCATGATCTCAATCAAAAACTTAATAATCTCCACAACCCCTATGCTGATGAATAAGATTATTGTTCTATTTATGAATGTTCACGAAAACTTGGTAAACATAAAACTTGGAAAATAAACAAAATTAATGGTAAATATATTGTTGGAATTACTTCACTATGTACAATTATAGCATAAGTCCAATGCATATTCCATATACTACATTTCGGCAATTTCAATAATTCCACGACATTTCAAAACTGTTATGAAAATTTTCTATTCACACTGATCGCATTTTCACAATCCACTGAACGAAATCTTAACCATACTTTAAGAAACATTACAAAAACTCCATTAAGTAGTCATAAGTAATGATAGAATACAGTCATATCAAGAATAGGATAGTAATTCACGAGTAAGTTGAAACTAGACTACCATGGAAAACCTGAAAGACCTAAATAGCCGTTTCATCCTAATATGGGACTCCTCAGTATTGTGCATCCACGATCCTGCCTTGCAAAATTAGAACCCAATGACCCCTCAGTCCTGGTTGAATTCGGACATTAACACCACTGGATGCCGGTCGGCCCAATGGTCCTCGGCTCGAATCTCGCTAGGAAGGATCGTGGATACGTACCGGTGATGAGTCCCACAGTAGGACGAAACGGCCGAGCAATGCTGCCAGGTGTTCCTTGGTGGCCTAGCTTCAATCGACTCATGAATTCAATTATTAAATAGGACAGTTATTACCAATGACACTGAATGATACGTTTTTTTATTATTAATGAATAAAGAACTCACAGTTGGATCGAATCCAGCTCTTAAATTAAATGATAATTCTTCTGAAATGGCTAAAGCAAATTGTTTTCGAAATTGTGGATATTGATCAAATATTTCTTGTAATTGATGATCTAATGCTATACATTGTAATTCACAATATGTTAATGATTTAACATTATAAGCTGAATATCCCAATATAGGCAAATCATCCATATCACTACCAAATATATCACATTTACCTAAGATTATAATGATGACAAAAATGAAAAAAAGAAGAAAAAAACAGATGAAAGAAGGAATACGAAATTAAGTTTCATACACATAGTTCCCTTTATTATCTTAAATAGAGTAAGAACAAAGAATGACACACTTATACATAAGAGGGTGATTAGGGATGAATACTTGTGTATCATGATGTAGCGAAGATTCCGATAGAGTTAATGAGGTCATAAATATTGTTTATTTCGAATAAATAAAGTTTGAGAGGGAAAGTTCTGGAACACTGAAATAGTGATTAGAACTCATGGAATTAAAAAAAACACATTAGATGATTATGTAATGAAGTAGCTGAAAATAGACTAATGGTACATGTATCTGCCAAAGCAGTTACATTGGTAGAATAGAAAGGAAAGCCTACGTCCGATTCAAAGAACATATTCCAAAGAGTTTAAGATGAAACAGATTAAAAACATCAGCAATCCCATCGCAAGACATCTCCTTGACATAGGACACGAAGTCGATACATTGAAGTCCATCAAGGTGATTCACAAACAATCAAATTCAAACCTTTTGAAATTTAACGAAGCAATAGCAATCAAACGTCTAAAATCAGATCTATGGATACTAAAAGAGACAGTAATAAACCTTTCTTTGCCCTGGTAACATTAACCCCCCTTTTATCTATTTACTTATTAAGTCATTCATTATTCCAACTCTTTCTGAAGTTTAAATTACATCATACATAACTGATTGATTTCAATTCATATTTTCTTTATTACCATCAATCTATTTTCATGAGTTCTAGTCACTATTTCAATGTTCCAGAACTTTCCCTCTCAAACTTTATTTATTCGAAACAAACAATTTCTATGACCTCATTAACTCTATAGGAATCTTCGCTACATCATGATACACATGTATTCTCCCATTAATCATCCTCTTATGTATCAGTATGTCAATATCTGTAATAAAGTTGATTTTCAAATATTTTAGGTTGTAAGCAGTTGATGAGAACTTGACGAAATAAAATGAATCCATTTATTATTCTGCACCAATCTTCCTTCTTACTCTATTTAAGAAATGAAGTGTCCTAGTTGTATTATTTGTTTGCACTATGATCAATCATGAAGCATTTACATCATTGAAGTTTTCAATTATCTATCTTATTTAGTTAAGAGACTAAAAATGATGGTTATTTAAAAGCTCTATGCCTGTTTATTGAATATATCCAAGCTATCAAATAAATGTAAAGAAAATAATTTAAGTGATTTATGTATTTATTTATTTATTTTATTTAAACACATAGATATTGGTACAAGGAGACACCAAATACAAATGTGCCACACTAATCTCATTCGATATGTCTGAGGGCTGTGATACTGCCCAGGTGCCCAAACCGAAGCAGGTGGTTTTCTTAACGGGCCACTCCCCGAGACTTTGACCTAAAGGTCTGATCCACAAGGCAGTGGAGCATGGTAAGGAGATGCAGTCCCATGGAAGCTGGTGACCAACAATTGGTTTATACGCCATTTGTTCCCTTAGGATACTGGAGCCCATGTGCGCCATTGGTTTGGAATCCGGTTAAAGCGCCAGACATTCGCTTTTCGTCCTCTCATTTTCGTAAAGAACACCCGTGTTGCGAGAAGGCAGTGAGTAGGACTTCCCTGGCCGAGGCTATATACGGGTGGCCGTGTGGGAGCACTTCGAGAGGGAGAGCGGACTCTCCCCACTCTCGGTCATACCAGGGCATTTGGAGGCGATTTATTGTATTCCGATTAATTTACCTTATAGTTTATGTATGTATCATTAACATATGACCAAAGTAGTTGGTATCTACTTTAATACATTAGAAACGGGTAATAAGCACTTTCCTTAATTTAGCCAACAATTAAGAAACCTTAGAACAGGTTATAAATCATCAATTATCTCTCCCCTTCCTTTCAGTTATTTTTTTTCTCTAGTTTTGTTTTTTCTTACACAATTGGTACATTTCTACATTCATTCATATGTAACTTAATAGAAAGATTTATCAATTCTCATAATAGATATTATATAATCGTTTAGTTCAATACATGCTTGTAACGCTTTATCCATTTATCTCTGAATACTTTTCAGTAGTAGTCACTCTATGCACTGCATCGTTCGTTGATTTCACTATTGATTTTCATATGCATACTATTGAATTTGTAACATCAACATCTAACAAATGAACATATGACTGTTATTGTGGTGTGTGATACTGTTACATATAGATATAAGTAGTATGTATCATTAATCGAAGGTGAAATACCTTGTGACAGAAGGTTAAGAAGATCGAAGGGAAGAGAATAAGAACAGAGAATGATTGGTGTGAAAATGAAAACCGTGATTCCAAACTAATGGTGCACATGGGCTCCAGGATTCTGAGGGAATAAAAGGCGTATGAACCTGTTGTGGTCACCGGCTACCATGCGACTACATCTCCTAAGGTTGCTCCATTGCTTTGTTTGATTGGACCTCTAGGTCAAAGGCTAGGAATGTGGCCGCCTAAGAAAACTACCTACTTCAGTTTGGATACCTAGAGAGCATCACAGCTCTCACACAAATCAATGATAACTGCTGCTGGCCTCATTGTTATTGTTTGACGCATATGTATTTGGTGCCCCCCTTGTGCCGATGTTTATTTGTTCAAATAAACAAACAAATAAATACATTTTGACCTAGTCAATTATTTGCTTATTGACCCTGTTTTTATATGTTTGTATTTGTGTTAATTACTTACACTATTCATCATGTGTCTGCAATTTTTTTTGAATTTAAATACTGAGTGACGCTTTATCTAATGGAGTTGGCTCATTCATCTTATCCACTGCGTGTCATTTCGTTTCGCTTCGTTCCCCTGATCGCCAGTCCTGATCAACGATTGTATGAAATATACGTATTTGAAATCCATTCTCTTCTTTGACTTATTTATTCTTGTTATTTAGTGATGAGATTTAAGTCCATGGTTATATACACGGGTAGCCGGGATGTAAATTTTAATAGCAATCATCATATGAGATACCTGGAGTCAGATGTCGGACCACTAACATATCTAAAATTAAGATTTCTACTTTCTTAAAATCTAAATTTAGCATTGTAACTCATGATGATACCTTCAAAAACTTCAGATGTATACATGTGTATATATCAAGGATTACTACATAAGAGAATGGTTAAGATTTGATAATGAGACTGTGTATAACCCACACTCAAAGCATGTATACTGTATGGTGTTAAAAAAATCACTAGTATAAGTGACAGTTAACCATAATCTTTGAAACTCATCATGGTTTGAGAAAAGAACAGGAATATGAATGATTAAACTTAGGTGTAATGAACGAAATATAAGATGACAACTTATTAGACAAAAGTTTGAATTCTACTAGTCTTATTTTGAAGTTATATTTTACGGATGATTATAAAACATAGACTAGGAAATATATAAGGCAAAGAAAACGCAGCATATCTACAATTGAAGAATATCTGGAACTCAGAACAACTGTCTGTCAACCAACACCAAAGTCACAATTTTCAATACAAATGTCAACACAGTTCTACTGTATGAGGCGGAATCTTGGAGAACGACGAAAGCCATCATTCAGAAGATACAAGTGTTTATCAACAGTTGTCTACGCAAAATACTTCGGATCCGTTGACCGAACACTATCAGCAACAACCTACTATGGGAGAGAACAAACCAGATTCATAGCAGAGAAGAAATGAGCAAGAAGTGCTGGAGTGGATAGGACACACTTGAGGAAATCACCCAATCGCGTCACAAGGCAAGCCCTCACATGGAATCTCCAGGCCAAAGGAGAAGAGGAATACCAACGAACACATTATACTGAGAAATGTAAGCAAACATGAAAAAAATGAACAAGAATTGGATAGAAGGCCCAGGACAGAGTGGGTTGGAGAATTCTGGTCGGCGACCTATGCTCCATTACGAGTAACAGGCGTATGTGAGAAAGGTAAAAAAAAGTATAAATGATGTATAATTTTTAGAAATTCCAAATTTAACTTCTAGTAACTGTATAAATTAAGTGAAGAAAAGTTTATACTTTCAGAAAATAGAGATAAGAAATTTTCGACTTATTTTCAGTTTTATTAAATAGTAGCTACGACACTGAATTTAAAAACGTCTCAAAATGTATACTACTTGTAAGTAGATGAATATTGTTAACAAAAATGAATTAGTAACTTAACGGGTATTCTGTTGATATTATAGGGGTTTTAATAGTTCAGAACATGAGTCAATTGAAGCCATACTACCATGGGAAGCCTGGAAGTATTGCACGACCATTTCGTCTAGAAAACTAGAGGTTAAGCGTTCCCACGCAAGATCGATAGATCCTAGGTTCGAATCTCACGAGGCGTGATTGTCTATGCGCACTGCTAAGGAGTCCCCCACAATTGGACGAAGATAGCAGTCCAGTGCTTCCATGTTTTCCATGGTAGTCTAGCTTCAATTGATTAACGATCTCAACTATTAAAAATAAATTAGGTTGATTCAATGGACTCAGATTTAGTAAAGTAATAATATGAACAGAGGATATTCTTGAATAATCCTTTAAGTTATATAAAAAATAACCTTTCATAAACCATCCTAATGAACATAATAGTACTTTTGTTTCATATCTACTTTAGACAGCCACTAAACAATTTTCTACAATAATACAGAACATGATTTATTTTTGAATAAAAGTTCATACAACTAAAGTCATATGGTAACGTGTGAACTAAATGAATAATTTATTTAAGTAGTATAGTAATATTCTTTAAAAATATTCCCACCAAATTTTTTAGGGAGCTTGAATTTCAAAAATAAAGTTATGTAATGAAGTGAATTTAAATTAGACGGTATGTCTATGAATAAGTGACAAAAGTATAGAATATTTTAATAAACTATGAGAACTATACACTAAATAATTCATGTGCAAATTTCCATCATTTACCCTTGACATTCGGTATAATTTTCCCAAATCACGATCTTCAATTGGATCTTCTTAGCCTTCTGCTGCTACGTTTTCCAGTTCTGATCGGTGTTACATACTACTTATGATTATCCACTTAAGTAGCCTACACCATATTACATACTAACTTACTCCTGTTAACTGCCAATGGAGCATAGGTCGCCGACCAGAATTCTCCAACACACTGTCAAGGATTTTCTTTGTACTTTTATCCAATTTTTTGTTCATTTTTCTCATGTTTGCTTACATTTCTCAGTATAATGTGTTCGTTGGTATTCCTCTTCTCCTTTGGCATAGAGGTTTCCGAGTGACGGCTTGCCTTGTGACGAAGTTGGGTGATTTCCTCAATGTGTGTCCTATCCACTTCCAGCACTTTTTGCTAATTTCTTTCTCTGCTTGAATCTGGTTTGTTCTCTCCCATAGTAGGTTGTTGCTGATAGTGTTCGGTCAACGGATCCGAAGTATTTTGCGTAGACAACTGTTAATACACAATTGTATCTTCTGAATGATGGCTTTCGTCGTTCTCCAAGTTTCCGCCCCATACAGTAGAACTGTCTTGACTTTTGTAATGGAAATTCTGACCTTGGTATTTGTTGACAATTATTTTGAGTTGCAGATATTCTTCAGTTGTAGATATGCTGCTCTTGCTTTGCGGATCCGTGCCTTCATATCTGCATCAGATGCACCGTGTTCATCAATCATGCTGCCGAGATATGTAAATGTTTTTACATCTTCCGAGGCTTCTCAGTCAAGTGTGATTTAATTGGTGCGAGTTGTGTTGTATTGAACAATCCTAACTTTCCCTTTGTTTACGTTGAGACCTACTGCTGCCGAGGTTGCTGCTGCTACACTGGTCGTCTTCTCGTGTACTTGTTGTTGCGTGTGCGATAGAAGAGTCAGATCATCTATGAAGTCTAGATTGTCCAGCTGCATCCTAGATATCCACTGTATAGCATGCTTCCCCCAGTTGTTGACATTTTCATGACAAAAGAATCTGAATACTTCCCGATTGTCGTTTCATATCATTAAATCATTTACAGTGGTTACACAATAGTGTAGAACAGTTAAAAGAAGGTAAATTTCTTTAATCTATTATTAAAAGCAGATGTTCTTTAAAATCAGTCATGTCTCTGATCGGGTATTTGTATTTGCTAAAGTAATCTCAAACTAGATATAAACAAGTTCTCATTACCATTTAAATTGTAGTGATGACGGAAAAAGTTCGGAAAATTGAATTTTATGGCGTTTTACTTCACTGGAAGTATTGATATTGTGTCATAGGTCTTCACGCTAGGAAATGTGACTAGTTTACTTAGAAAAATACATTTAGCATTGTTGAATTTGAATATCATTTCGATACATTAACTGTGATTTATGATTTGACACTATTCAGTTTTGAAGCTTGGTAACGTTTATTTAATCTAAAAAGGATCATATCATCATTCAGTATAAACTGTAGAATCATCCAAAGCTTGAAGTTGACCTATGAACTGTCAGCATGTTTACAGTTCAGTCAGAAAAACATTAGGAGGGAAGTAGATCTTAAGTTCTGTTTAAACCCATATATAAAGTTAATAGGTAATTCGTCTATTTTCTTAGCTCATTGAGACAGCATTAAATGTCAAGACTTTACTGTTATGTACATATAAATAAATATATATCTGCGCTGAAGTAGTCGCTTACACTAAGTTACGAAATGTCAGTAATGTAAGTTTACATGTTTCATTAAAATTCTTTTTTTGGTTGAAAAAAACTTACCCAACAATCCAACAACTGTACCTTCTTCACCAAGTATTTCTAAAGAACCACTACAGACAAAATAGATAAATTGTAATGCATCACCTTGATTAACAAGATATTCACCAGGTGTAGCAAAACGTGTTGTTATTAATTGAGCTAAACATTTACGACAACCAGGACTGGCACTTTTGAATAAACTCAATGATAATATTTCACGATTTAAATGTAAAGCAATATCACCGCGTAAATTTTCCGGGAATGATTGTAATATCTATATTGTCAAATGAAACAATGAATGATTGGGGGAGAGAAAAAACGATTACTTATAGTGAATCATCGAAAATAATGGTAAATTTGTCAGATCCCAATGAGTAGAAAATTAAATTTTTGTATTTTCACGATTTAGTGTAAACTGTTTCTGCAGCGAGTAATTGTTTGAGGGGACATTTTAATCACTGAATGACTACAGTTGGGTTTGCATTATAAATCTTTGTATAACTAGGCAGTTGTTTGCTCTTAGTTTTTGATATCCCAGCAGTATGAATCCACGGCTTAACATAAGATCAAACGGAAAGCTTTCAAGTGTCGCAGAAAATATTAGAATATGGCAACTATTCACCGTAGTCTGGTTTTCAATGGAATATGAACTACCCTGATTATATTATATGTACTGAATTATCTGTGTTTTATCCAGTCTAAATTCTTGAATGCTCAATTCTGAAGCAATCCATACCAGGGCTAAACATATATATATAGGGATATTCTGAATCTCATTAAATGTCTATAAAAGAATCCTATACGTATATCTTGTGATAATTCCAAAATATAAGATGAAAGATATTCGATCCTAACAGTTTAAAATAAGTTAACTGACTTCATCATTAATTTGGTTTATTTCTCTATAGCCTCACCTCATTAAGCTATAGATAAACGTATCGGTGAGACTATAATTTAAGGATGACCTTTGAACAACACAGAAATAACCTTGAGAGTGTTCACCTAATAACTGTAACCAAATGAGGGTTATAAACCAATATGAGGAATTAGGACTGTGATTTACAGTTGATGATTTGGGTTAGAAATTAGATTTAAGGTTTTCATCACGAACTGACATTAGCTATAATGCCAGAACTCTATTTCACCAAATGGATGATTGAATTTCGCACCAAACTCCGAGATCTGTTTTCTTATACCTGATTGGTTCGTTCATAAATGATAGTTTCATCACAAATGTTTTACATTCATTGGATTAAACATTATAAATCTGTTCAAATCATTAAATCTAATTGAAATAAATATTACTATTCAATATTATTATCATTATTGCAATTTAAACAGTTAAGATCATCAGTCAGTTGAACCTAGACCACCATAGAAAACCCGCAAGCACTGGACGGCCGTTTCATCCTATTGTAGGACTCCTCAGTAGTGAGCATCCACGATCCCGCCTCGCGGGACTCGAACCCGGGACCTATCAGTCTCGCGCCAGGCGTTCAACCAACTAAACCACAGAGACGGCATCCGACGGTGTTAATGTCTAACTTCAACCAATCCACGAAATTGAGCGACACATCCACCATTGTCATCAGTGAGTTACTACCTCACAACTGACCCGGTTGAACTCCACTGGATTGTGGATGCGCACTACTGAGGAGTCCCACAGTACGACGAAACGGCCGTCTAGTGTTTCCAGGTTTTCCATGGTGGTCTAGCTTCAATTGACTCGTGATCTTAACTGTTTAAACTACTACAATCTCCACAAAACCCCTTCTGATATTATTATTGTTTTGATCAAACTTACAGCTTCTTTATCTATACCACGATTAATTGCCCACATAGCTTGAAAAAATTCAAGCATACGTTGTTTTAAAGGTTTCGGTATATGATGAGCACGTGTAAAATCTTTTAAATCTTGATTCTTTGTTTGATATGCTGAACGTCTTGAATACATACGTTGAATAAGTGTTGTCACATTACCGAATACTGCTGCATGCATAAGAGCTGATCGAATTATTTAAAAAAAAATTTGTGGAAAATTATTAATTTAAATATAGTTAGAAGGAGATTTTATGAAGAGCGGTTCAATGAATTGTAGTTACTTATTTACTGACTCCTGTTAACCCTCGTGGGGGAGCATAGATCAACCACCAGCATTCCACATTCAACTCGTCTTTGAACAATCCTTTCTAGTTATTTCCAGTTACTATTCATCATTTTCATGTATACTTTCAATTCTTTGATCTTCCGCTTTTTCGTTTACCTTCAGGATTCCAAGTAAGAGCTTGCCTCATGATTTTTTCAATGTATATCCTATCCACTTCCATAGTCTTTTCCTAATTTCCTCTTCAGTTGGAAGTTGGTTTGTTTTCTCCTACAGTAGTTTGTTTCTAATGCTATCCGGTCAACGGATATTAAGTATCTTGTATAGACAATCGATTATAAATACCTGTACTTTATTGATGACGGTTGTAGCTCTTCTACGGTTACTACCGGTGCAAAGCCCATGTAATGGAAGATGGTTGGACATGGCATCAGAAATCTCACCTCGTAGTAAACAACCTTGTTTAAAAAAAACTCTAACCAGAATAGATGAATAGTAGTTGCTCTACATTAAAAACGAATCGAAGTTGAAATTGTACCATTAAACATCAACCTAGTTAATTTTAATGTTTAAGTGTTCACTATGAAACTTAAAGATCCAAGGTTTGATCCATAGTAGGTTATTAGGTATACTATACTGAAAGATTCTATACTATAACTAAATGTCTATAAACTGCTTCCTGGTTTCCCGAATGAGATCTTGTTATGAAGTAAAATCCTACATCTTTAGTTAAATACTGTACGGAAATCTTATTTAAATCTTTAGAAATAATATTCATCACGAAAGGAATGTGAAATCAATCAATAAATAAAAACTTCATGAAGTTCATTGAATTGTATCTACGTGAATCGATATCATGATACCCTTTGTGAATTATCTACAATAATGTCCACTTATGTGAATAAAATGTTCATAACAGTATAGTAACTATCCTATAATCAATTTCGATTATGGTTCATTTTGTTTTTAGCCCTATTTCTATTAACTTACTTAACAACAGACAATATTATTTGAACAGTAACAATTTGTCTATTTCTTTGTACCGTTATGATCATTAGAGCGCATGTCAAACTCTGGTTAAAATGTTAAATATTTAAATATCACTTGATGATTCATTCCTTCCCCATGGATATATGTACTTAAATCTTATTATTAGCTTTTACTTTGACTTATTGCACCCTCATGCACTTTGACTATAAATTTACCTACGTATCTCTTCCTATATATACATATTCGCCTCTCCGCTTCAAATTCGCTTGATGTGCTTATAGCTTTGTCATCTGCTCAATGCTTTAATAAAAATATATAGTTGCCACTTCTTATTACTTTCTGATTTTGAACATCGTTGAGATGTATATAATAACGGTTACACAAGGGTGATTGATTAACGAAGCAAAGCTACTACAACAATTCGAATTGTCAGTAAATTGATGGGGATTTTACAATGTCATACGTGATAAATAATCTATGAAAATCAAGAAGCACTAAATAGCTGTTTCCTCCTAGTCCCAAACTACTAAAAAGTGTCCATCCACGACCCCGTTGCCAAGGTCTACTAGTAAATAATAATATTCAGAACACAAAATACTCATTCAATACAAATTCATTCTTATCGATCATACCTGTTGATACTTCAAAGACAGAGGAGTGATTTCTTTTAAAAGATTTACCTAGTATCATCAATAGAATTCGATCATTATTAAAGGATTAAACAATCATGGGATTGGTTACTGTTCATTGGTCAATCCATTGCATCATTCATAAGATTTATTGTTTTTCTCTACAGTTTTTGATATTGACATGAGATACATTTCTTTGACGATTATCAATACAAAATTATTAAACAACGGCCTTGGAGTTTTCTTTATTGATTCTGCTGACAATTCTAGTATAGAGTGATAAATCTTAAGCGATCGTTTATATAAATGTAAGTGATAATTGAACTGGGAATTATAAGGTTTATCTGTTACATGCGTATAGCTGTATACCATAAACATATAAATGGATTATCAAGTAAAAGTAATCAACTTAGAAGCACTGGACTGGGGTTTTGTCCCAGTACGGAACTCCTCAGAAGTGTGCATCCATGATCACGCACTCTGGATTCGGATCCAAAACCTTCAGTCTCGTGCACGAACGCTTAACCTCTGGACTGTTAGGCCAACATCCAACGGTGTAAATACTTAACTTCAACCAGACTGTTTTTACGGTTTGTTGTAATCACTAGAGTAATTGTTACAAATCCCCAGAACTGAGCATTACTGCAATTTTCATGACTTAAATAAGAAAACAAAGATTGGTTCAAAAGGAGATTTTGTTGACTGCCAAATTTCGTTAAGTAAACCCAGAAAAGTACACTCATTTACAAAATGATTTTACATACACTTAATGATTAGTCAATAGAGATCATATATAGAGGAAATACAGAAAATTTCTACGATAAACCATGTTGTTAAGATTACCAAACAAAGTTCCAGGTGATTTAATACAATCTGTATTATGTTGAATTGCAGAATGCTAGTCGGCAGCCTATGCTCCATTTGAAGTAAAAGGCGTAAGTAAAGTAACTAAGTAAGTAAGTATTATGTTGAGTAAACATTAGACATCAACGTTATACAAAACATTACTCTGAATAATCGTAATACTAAATTGAAAACGAATGTTATATTTAACAAAAATCACCAAGGTAGAAGACGTAATCACACCTTTTTAATTGTGTAATAGTTTTCTAGATAAACTGAGAATAGTGAAAGTTTTTCACAGATTAATAATCCAGTATATATTTGCTATCATCTCTTAATAATGATTAGTTAGGGATTTTATATTTGTGATTCATATATTGAATTTGTAACTCCGCCTGGAGCCCCTCCAAGGGCTACTGCCTGCCACAAGCCCGGACAAAGGAGGAAGGTTGGGCATGGGTTTAGCGGACCTATCCCGTAGAAAACTAACTCGCTAAAAAAATGCTAACCAGAAAAAAATTTATATTGGATTTGTTTTGATTAAAGATATTGTTATATCCAGATGAAGAATAAGTGAATAGTAACCATTAGAATCTATCTATGAACTATTATTATATATATTCTTAACTATTAAATTCACCTGGTGTTTAGTTGTATCTTCCTATTGTTATTTAGGACTGCAATCGATCAGTCACTTGTTGGCATATGTGCAGATTGCCTCGATATTACATTAGATCACAAGCTTTATAAGCAAAGATGGATAGTGGCTAGCAGTGAAACACAGGAAGCGTGTTTCGTTCTATTTAGAACTCTGCAATTAAATGTACTTGCACCTCAGAGTTGATGTCCACTCCTGGACTCGGAACCAGTACCGTTCACTTCAAATGCCATCACGTTATCCACTTAGCTACTGAATCCTGATAGTCAGCTATTGAATAAGCTTGTGGCTGCTAGTTTACGTGCGAGACTTAAAGAAACAGAATAAAACATCACTTATTTTTTCTTTGTTGTTGATTACTCTATCTTAAATAACAATGGGAAGATACAAGTAAACAATACCAAGTTAATATAACTTCAACCCATTACACAAGCAGGTGGCTATTATGACTCAGTAGCTAAGTGGAAAACGTGATGGCGTTTGAAATGAACGGTACTGGATTCAAGTACCATAGTGAATATCAAATCTGCAATGCAGGTACATCCAGCTGACAAACCCCTAGACTGGAATTCGATGACGTTTTATTCTCTGAGCCGGATGGTTTCGTCATGGAGATTTCATAATTCTTCTGAATGACATCATCAGCACAAACTTGAGGTAGAGGTCTTGAATTCCATGTCAGTTAAGACTTGTCACCATGACGTATCTATAATGTTGATATAAGTGAGCCTTCTTTTTTGTGATTTGAACTGTTATAACTTGTGCCTTGTGTCCTATTAATGTATAGTGTGATGATACCGCCAATTAGAGAAAAGTGAATTATCGATCGGACCAATAATGCATGAAACACGTACGAGCAGTATACAGTCCTTATCAGTCCTGTTTACCGCCTAGCCCAGACTGTTAAGTCCAGAACACCAATCTCAACCTCTGCAATATGAATCATGTATTTCAAACATACTTCGTTTATATACCAACCAAACAAACCACATAGTACCATAAAATAGGAAACAACATTTTTACAAGATTTGGTCAAATGTGGCTGTGAATGTGGGAGGCAGTGATTAATAGACAGGGCATAATTGAAGAATGGTAAATCGTATAATAACAGTTCATAGGTCAAAATAAAACTCATAACGAGAGGGACACGAATATGAATAGTTTAGTCATTTAACAATTATACGATAAAAATATACGTATAGTATTGGGCCATAAATAGGTCCCGAAAATTACCATTCATTCTTCTCATCGAGATCTAACATGAACCCAAGGTATCTAGTTCTATAGTTTGAAATATAACCTACAAGCTATGTCATATAAGACACAAATAGTCAGATTCTTCTTTTGAAATAAATGATCAACTATATGATTTAATGTGTATCTCATTGTGAAAGAAAACTATACCTTATTCAATATGGAAATGAGATTCATTTGACTTACTTATTATCATATACATCAATGCGCTTATATCATTGTGAATAAGAGTTGATTTAATATTGACTGAAGTAACATCCAAATTGATTAGGAATAAAATGATCAAATTATTAGACTGGAAACTTATAGTTTGTTGATTAAGCTTAGTTTGTTTCTTTTTTTCCCTAATTATTATGCTTATTGAGATGAATATGTATTGTGACTGTAATTATCCGATATATATATATATATATAATCCTTTTGCAAAAGATCTAAATTACTAATATAAGGAATGATTAAACAAAGTGATGAATTAATGACATGGCTCAGAATCGTTTACAATGACACAGATACATTCACTCTTTTGTGTTCTCTCAAATTTTCCACTTTCCAAATTTATTTCACTGAATTATACTCCTTAAATAACATCTTCAAACCCTAATCTTTCCGATTACTGCTTTTACTTTTACAACCTCTACCACTATGGGATTCGAATCCACAACTACATCTCTGTGCTAATGTGGTATGGCAACTTTAACTGATATTTACGTACATACGAAGTTCTACGTTGTTACTGACTGACTAACTGACTGAATTAAACAAGACAGAAATTCATGGATTCCTACTAAGCTATCACTTATGAAGTTAGTAGACTTAAATAAGCTATAAATATCGATTTATCGATGTCTTTGTTTATTTATGATTTGAGTACCATGTGAGTTATATTAAAAGAAACTAATTCAAAAAGGAAAGAAAAGTCGGTTTATGAGAGTAAAACACTTCATCAGCTGAAGTTGTTAGGTAGCGTTTTGTCAGTAACTACCTAATGCCTAACCTAAAGCATAAAGTTATCTGACATAATAAGAGGTTGATAACAGCACGGAGTAGGAACATGGAGATATAATATGATATGAATAACGACTGCTGGTCTAAGCCATGTTGATAGGTGCAGATTTATTGTCAGAATTCACACAACAGTCTTAATAAATACTTGAAAACGATACATTTGATGTAGGATAGAATGGTTCACAGTAAGGAAGTTAGATTTTTACACTATCAGCTTTTGAAGTTTGGATAAAATATGATTTTTAACATTTTGCATGTGTGGATAAAAGAATATTATGGAACCTTTTTCGATGCTATAGTGTACCGAAGAAGATCGTCGAAGTCATACGGAATACATATGACGGACTGCACTGCGAAGTTGTGCATAAGCGACAGCTGACAAACGCATTCCGAGTGAGGATCCGAATCAGAGAAGACTGCCTACTCTCACCCTATTTTATTTCTTCTGGTGGCCGAATGGATTATGAAGACTTCCACATTCTAGGAGAAACGCGGAATACAATAGACAGCATGCACTCAACTAGACGATTTGGGCTTCACAGATGACTATGCTCGTCCATACATGTGAAACTCGAAACAATTGTCTGCAAGCCAACATCAATGTCAGAATCTTCAATACGAACGTCAAGACAGTTCTTCTACTGTTTGGAGCTGAAACTTTGAGAACTACTGCAAAAATCATCAAAAATATATAAGTATTTATAAACAATTATCTACGTAAGATACTCAGTGTCCGTTGACCAGACACCACCATCAGCAGCCTACTATGAGAGAGAACAAACTAACTTCCAGCTGAGGAGGAAGTGGGAGTGAATGTGATATATATTACGGAAATTATCAAACTGAATCATGAGGCAAGCTCTAATTTGGAATCCTGAAGGTAAACGGGAAAGAGAAAGATCAAAGAATTTGAAACATACATGAAAAATGATGAATAGCAAATGGAAATAACGTGAAAGGATTGTCTAGGACAGGATCGGATATAGAATGATGGTGGCTGGTCTATGCTCCTCCATGAAGATTAACAGGCGTAAGTAAGTAAGTAAGTAAGTAAACGTTTTATGTTTCAATTCCCTTTACTGTTTATGAACTGTATTTATCATGCATAGATTTTTATAACATATAAAATTAACTCTACCACTTTACTTATCATTTTGTTGACTTTCTCAATGCATTTTTGTGTAAATAAAACGATGTTTATGCGATAATAATATGCTCTTAAAAGTTTAATATTAATTTCAATAGTTGAAATCATGAGTCCATTGATGCTCGAACACCATGGAAAACCTAGAAGCACTGGATGGACGTTTCATCCTATTGTGGGACTCCTCAGTAGTACGTATCCACGATCCTGCCTCGCAAGATCCCAACCGAAAAACTATCAGACTTGTGAGCAAAGCACTTAACCACTAGACCACTGAGCCGGCCGGCATCCAACGGTGTTAATACCTTCAACTGGCTCATGATCTGAACTATCGAAATTACTATAATATTCACAAAAACCCCTAAAACAATCACCAAATGATGTGTAATAGTAAATTTCATTTGAATAAAATTCATTTCTTACCTCCAATAAGCATAGTTATCACAGCAAATATTTTCTCATTTACTGTATTCGGTGATACATTACCAAATCCAACACTAGTTAAACTAGTTGTTGTAAAATATAAACTAGATACATATAATGCACGTCTAGTTAATCCATTCGTTTTATTCATTGCTGAATATGAACGATTCAATTGCATTCGTTCACCTAATTCATATAACCAACCTATTTAATATAAAACAGACCAAAAGAAAAAAAACAGTTGTAGAAACATAATTGTAAAATAGATCATTTAGGAAGATAGAAATATATTTGTAATGTAGATATAATCAAACATTCTATGCCTGATTCTTGTTATATACTACTGATGTAAATTCAATAGTTGAAATCATGAATCAATTAAAGCTAGATCATCATGGTAAACCTCGAAGCACTGGCTGGCCGTATCGTCTTATTGTGAGACTCCTCAACATTACTCATCCATGATAGTCTAACTTCAATTGACTCATGATCTTAACTATTGAAATTACTACAATCTCCATAAAACCCCTTCTGATACTATTTATATCAATATAAGTAGAACACATATCACAGGATATACTTCATTATTTGAATATTTAATTACTACAAACTATGCATAGTTGCTACACAAACTCCAGTATATCAACGTATATGAGATTATTGTTCTCTATTAGCGTTTAACTCTTGTTATTTATTGAAAACAAGAATTTTCAAAAGATATAAAGATAATAGTAACTAAATGATAAACATGATAAAATGAATTTATAACGGTTGAATGAATGAGTATGAGAACTATATCGATTCTAGACATGTTTTCATATTTTCATTACCCAATATAAAGAAACAAAGAGAAGTTTATGTCTTGTTCACTTGTTTATTTCAAATCCATTATATTATTGTTAGACATAAATTAATTTCTATTCATAATAGTATATCAATAGTTGGAATCATGAATCAATTGAAGCTAGATAACTATGGAAAACCTGGAATTCATTGGACGGCTATTTTGTCTTATTGTGGAACTTCTCAACAGTGCATATCCACCTTTTCTGATCTGTTAGAGACCGTGTTCTGGATTTAACTGGCTGGGCTAGGCGGTAATCAGAGCCAATCAGAATTCTAGGCTTCTTATACGGGTTTGCGCGTCGTTGGTACGATCGATAAGTCATCGCTCTCTAATCGGAGGTCACATGATGGGTTATAGGTATTTCCTACAAAAGACTAGAAGTAATAGCAAACCTAATAAAGTTCTATATTCATTGCTATGATAATTGCTTATACTCTTGTGAACAGAACACCGATGGGCACAATCTAACATATTTAAAACGAAATTACAGAGTATTTCAATGAAATCTGAGAACCATATAGTAAATAGTTAATTTGCAAAATATCAGTCTATTGTCTCAAACTTCACTGTTTCTTTTACAAATATCGGTCCATTGTCTCAGATTTCATTGCTCATGCATTTTCATACCAATTGCGTTCTGTTTTCGTTCTTTCCTTATCGATCTTCTGTTGAAATACATTCTATGCCTGACCAACGTTATATACTACTTATGTGGATATAAGTAACCTACACCACAATACAATCGGTGAGATTATAATTTATGGATGATTTTTAGGCGAAGCTAGAGTGACCTTGAGAGTGTCCAGCTAAAAACCAGGACAAAATGAGTGTCATAAACCTGTTTGAGGAATTAGACTTATGATTTACAGTTGATGATTATGGTTAGGAATTAGGTTTAGGATTTTCATCAGCTATAATACCAAAACTCTATTTAACTAAATGGGTGAATGTGTGGTGTGTGCTACTTATATTGACATAAGTAGTATATGATGTTAGTCGTGAACAGAAGGTCTGGCCGCAGAGAGACAAGAGGATCGAACAGTAAAGAATCTAAACAGAATGCAATTTGTATCAAAATGCAAGAACAATCAAGTCTGAATCATTATTTTGAGACAATTGGTGGACATTTTGCAAATTAACCATTTACTTTATGATTGTTAGATTTTATAAACATGTCCTGTAATTCTGTGTTAAATACATTCGATTGTTCCCCACTGGTGTTCTTCTTCGCTACAAATGGATTTCGTGCCATAACCCAAGATCTATTATTCCAAATATGATTGATCCAACCATAAATTATAGTCTCGACGATGGATTTAATCAATAAACCATAGAAAATTTACATAGATACATTCAAA